ATGCCACAGTGTCTGTCAATTTACATTTATCTTTCTTCAACTAAGCCATTCTTTAGATGTAGTGGTAGTGTTGTCCGAATGTTTCCGATTGTTATATACGTTTTCAAGATGTAAGGCTTCCAACTCGTTCTGACCCCTATATGTATCCTCAATGTAAGAGCGATTCTTTTCAATTTAACCATTCTTTAGATATAAATGAATTGCTAATCCGAGTGTCAGATTTCGATAGCTAATTTTGACTAAAACTATTACCACACCTAAACATATTCTGACTCGACAGATGATACGAGGATTATTTGAGAGGCTCGAGCGAAAAAAGGACATACTACTTTCGACATGACATGACAATAAGTTACCTTCATCCATTGCTCTGGCGTACAGAGAGTAAAACTCTTTTCATATATAGTGTCTAATAACTATCACAAGTGTCTCCAGCATGAGATAAGCTCGCCATTATTTAAGGTACCTCTACCCTTTGCTCTATCCTCTAGCCAACAGAGAGCATGAAATCTGGAAAAGAACAGTTCCGTTGACATACCCAATTTATGGTGCAGAAAAGTAGGACGTAAAACTCCATTCATTTCATTTCATTTCATTTGCCATACCCAATTTAGAACATCAAGACAAGTGTATCGGACTATACTTGAAGCTAGCCGGACAGTTTTAGTCTCTTCATGAATAAAACGCAATTGGAATCGGGAACAGAAAAGTTGGTGGTACACCTCCATTCGACTGCCTATCCGTTAAGACCAAGATCAGTGTATCGGTCTATACTTGACCCTTGTCTGACTGTGTCACTCTTCAGGAATAAATCACCAATCGAATATGTCTAAATCAACACAATAACCTACTCTTTATAATCACCATCAACTCTCTTTAACTGAACCACGAATCCGGAAACGATCAAACAATTTTAGTGGTCTGAGTGAGATTAATAAAGTCACGAACTTCAATACTCCGTCCATACGAATCACGTCCCAGCTCGCATGCAATGTGTTGATTTATTTCGGTTGTGTCTCCGGCTATTATTATACCAGGTTTTTATGTGTGCTTTCGTGTAGCCAACCGTAGCGGATAGTTCGTTAACCTGATTTCGGTTTTAGTTTTCACTTTTAATAAAGAACCTTTATGGAGTGGCAGGAGTTGAACACTCTCTGACACCTTAATATTTTTCAATCCACCCCCCCCCCCCATCCCTCGGTGGTATGTTGAAGAAACAAATTCAGCATACTTCCAGATTTGTCAATGAGTCTCCACCTCCCCCTCCCCTCCTGCACTTTGTTAGAGTTACATGTAAAAGAGACTGACATAGACAAAATTTGGTGCTGCAGACTGTACAAACTGAAAATAGTTCGATGGATGGAAACCGAGAGTCACAAATTGGAGAATTTGTACTGTTGTAAAGGTAGACAATGTCCACCTCGTCTGTCTTCGTCTGAAAACCCGCTCAATACAGAAAACACAGCACCATTGTAAGATTTTATTGCGTTTAAGTTTGGACATACATCAATTTATACAGAAAATATACAGCAATACTTACAACCAATATATACAGAGGATATAAGTTCTGAAGGCAAGCCAAATGGTTGTGCGAGTGCTACAATACAGCGGAGAAGCCATCTTTAGTGCAAGACAGAAAAGAAATTGAACAATGTTGGCGTATATCACTGTTTCCTACAAATGTTTAACATTAATATGACATCAAACATTTGGCCATGAACAGATTAGGAATCAAGGGAAAAACATTTTAAGTAGTAAATACAATATCCAGGTTTTTACATAAAAGTTATTGTTTTGGCAATAAAAATGTCGCTTAATATTTTGCTTTAATGCGGTACTTATACTGGATTATGGCCAACTTTTTATTCCATTGTCGACCACGGGTATTAAAAATACAAAACACAGAAGAAAATACTTAAAACATTTTCTTCTTACTCTATAAAAATGATTTTTATAACTAATGGCTTAAGATTTAAAAGGGATATTAACATCTAAATATATGTTCTTCACGCAAAACAGGTGCTTTCTTTCTTCTTGTTTCAAAGGTGATACGAACAGAACGTATCAAACCGACGTAAATTTGTTAACATCCCGGTATTTTGTTGGTAACCGACGCAACCGGGGGTAATCCTCTTATAGCACTAGGTATTTGTGTTTATCAACTAGGTTCTACATTCCAAAAGCTCACTTATTTCCATAATTAGTTAATTTTATGTAGTTAATTTTAATTAGCTGCAATACAGTTCAACTTGTATTCCAAGGGAAACAACTCAATATTGACTTCTTAATTCGATGCCATCAAAGCAAAGTTCTCAAAAGATCAACTAAAGTTCTTAATATCCAATGTAGAAAATGCAACTGACACAATTTCATTTAAAAGCCAGTGATTTCGCAAATAAAGTCTTCGCATGAAACCAAGGCCATGTGTGATTTTTATTGTGCACGGTCAAGAGGCCTCGAGAGGTGGAAATCATCGTCGTTCCAAAGTCATGGCAAAATTTACTCTATTGCACACAGACAAACACCATTTGTCCAAGACATTTCCAACAAGCAGAACGTAAAATTCCAATTCATTTCAATTAATTTCTGAATATATATTTCATACCAATTCCTTACAAACATGTGACAGACAAAAACCATTATTACGTCTGTGAATAATGGGAGGTAATTCTATCTGGATGATTAAATGTCAACAAAATAACCTTTGAATTGCATCGAACTGGAAAACAGAAGGTTTTTTTTCTAATTTTGCTTTGTGTTATGATATTTCTAATTTCAAATTCAATACAATTTTATCTCTACAAGACAATGATAGAATAAATATGTATGTTGATATGAATTGACTGAATTGACTGAATTAATACATATTGAAATGAACTGGTGATCTAATTTCAGGTAAATCAATTAAAACTGTATAATAATTATTAATTATGTAATAGTCATTAGTGCATTCTGATTATCAACAGCTGAATAATGTCATATTGAAGCAGCAATTTTAAATCCGAAATTTCATAGTCTAGGTCAGTGTAAAATTTCTTGGAAAATTTTAGAAATTCCTCTTTGGTCTGTTGTTCCAACAGTAAAGCATCGTTTCCTATTTGAGTGTTTGAATTCAAGCTGTTTATGAAATAAGGCGAAACAGTAAAATCTTTGAAATTCTGGAAAATGTTGAACCGTTTCCTTTCTAGATGCGTTCAAGCTTGTCATATAATTCTAAAAATACAGTACTGTTTCGTATTTAGGTGGGATTTTGTAATACGCATATTTATAACAGTCTGGACAGTGTAGAGTAGGTATAATGCCAGCCGTTTATAGACTCTATTCTTCCAGTGCATTTAGACAATTTCTCTTGTCGATAATAAACTATTTTTTACAGAAAACAATAGAGTCCATTAGCAGACTAGAGAAACACTTAATAACTTTTAATATATTGTCAAGGATCCTACACAATTCTCGAGTCAATAACGCCCTACTGATATCCATAAATATATTCTAACTACAACCTTTATTTCAAAACATCCGATTGCGTGGCTTATATTTCAATAAATCAAATTTCTACCTCGTGTCATTAAAATGTAATGTAACAATAAGATTGAAAAGTACATTTAAATTCGCCAGATGTGATAAAGTTATTTTTAATAATATATCAATGCAACCAAAATAGAACTTCCTGATTAACACTGTCAAAAGCATTGTTAAAGTCACAAAACGAAAGTTCTTTTTTACGCCATAACTATTGCAACAAAAATCCTTACAAACATTTTCGCAAATTCTTCATAATGTTACATTTTTTAATAAAGCTTAATTAACTAAATTCCAGATGGGACTCAAGCCAAACATTTTTTTTACAAAATAAGCATTAAACCACCAAAACTTAACAATTGTATGCCACGCGGTCGCACTCAAAACTCAACAAGCTAATATAATATAGAACTATCACAATGTTTTATTTACATGTTGGCTATAGGTCAGTAAATAAATAATCTATTTAAAGTAGGACAAAGATATGAATGCACGTTCGAGAACGTTTTAAAACATAACAAACAAATTTAATGTAATTTTGGTTATATAATAAATAGCTATAGTATACTCTGGGCAACCAGAGAAAAATACCATGGATTCAAGGAATCTTCATGGGTATTTTAATCTGATTGATATATACACCAATCAAGTTCATTACAACTATGCTACCTAGTAAATAAAATACAATGGCCCTGAAATGGTCCCTTGACGTGCATAATTACCTGTGCCCTACTTAACTATAATTTAAACATCACAAACTATATATATTTACACGTATGTGAACTTTAATGGCAAAATATTCACAATTTTGCAAACATTATTTGGACTGAAAGTGAACTTCAACGTTCGGGGATATATATATATATATATATAAACATCTATTAATATTACGTCCTCTTGTCGAGTTAAACGTTGTCTGACCAGTATCATGTATAACATCTTTTACAACGTTTGCTTTTGAAATTTTTTCAAGCGTGTGTTTTAACCTTTTTGCCTCATAATTTTACATTTTGTATTAGTTTAAATCTAATTTTGTCTGTGCATAATGCGCTATGCCCCCTTCTCCAAAATTCACGAGGCAAAAATACACACCAGATATTAACTAAAATGTCATAACTTGCTCAAAATATCTCCGGAGATCAACGTTTAACTGAACACGGGGCATGCGTTATAATACAAATATACAGAAGTCGTGAAAACTAGGACCTTCAACTTCATTATTTACAAAATTCGTTTATCATTTCATTAGAGCGTGAAGTGTCGGCCCCTCACGCTCATAAGCACTACAGTAACTAACATGCTAGGGATTTAGTTATATATTTAACATATTTAGATCAACAATCATTAACATCGTCAGAATATATCGGGCTATTTCACACATGCGTATTACACGTTGATGAATTACTAGCACTTTTTCCATTGGTCGTTGATTTGACCAACTTCATTTTTAAAAATCCATTTTTGTTGTTTGCGCAGCACTTACAGAACACTTTAACAAATGTATCTCGGAATTGTTTGCTCATCGTACAATATAACACAAAATTGATAGAATTGTTGATTAGTGCCATGACGTCTACTAAATCGCCGAGGTTGTTGTACACATAGAACTGTAGACATGGCTCAAACAGCGTCATTAGGGTTAAAATACCTTGTGGTAACTCGGTTAACATGAACAATACCACAATAGCAAGCAACATACCGGTCGTTCGGTTATGCTCTCCATGTTTGTCCGATTCCGCTTTCCGACCTTGCGATTTCAAACGCATGCGTTTACGGTATGCTTTATGCATGGCGTGGATTAAGAGAATGGTAAGCGTTGTAAGCAGAAAGCATGGTATCAGCTTCACGAGGATTGACTGTATATAAACATTGGACTGATATATAAAAACATCAGCCGTCGTCGACTGTCGTAATGACGGATAATAAAAGATATCACTTTTGTCACTAACATTTGTTCCATTTGGTCCGAGCGATTGTTTTGGCGGTAAACTGTCCGTGCTGATAGCGTTGATGATGTAATTAGGAATACAAATGACAACCGTCAACAAATATACCAAGAATATTGCAATCCTTGCGCGTCGTACATTACAATATATCGCACCTTTTGTAGGCATGCAGATATAAATATAACGAAATATAGCAAGGGCGATGGTCAGCCAGATGGCCACTGTGTGGCACACGATACCAAAGCTAGCATGGAACATTAAGAAACAGATCCACGCATAATCCCGAGTGTTAAAACGATCGAGATCTTCTTCACGAAAAATATAAAACCTCATAATAAACGGTAAATAGGACAACATGGTGAACAAATCGGCAACAGCAAGCCACATTAATATCGTATTGGTGGACGAAATCATATTTTTACGAGTTAAGACAATGATGTTCACGATGTTTGCGATGATCCCGAATGTACACACGACAGCACTGATATAACCATGGACTTGGGAGTACTCGGAAGCAAACAGAGCCAGTTCAATAACAGTATGGTTTTCAACTACACCGGGTACATATCCTAAATCACAGTTGACACCACCAGGAGGTTCTGTAGTCGTACCGTTATCCAACATGTCTACCGTCATGATGGAGCTGTTGTCTGGATGGTTGAGGTATGTACGTGGTGTTGTTATGATATTCATGGTAATATTCTGTCTTGTCTTTCTAACTCCTATTCAGAACGCCTGTACTAGCGACTGATAATAACGACCTGATGATAAACTATCCATACTAGACGATAACATCTGGTCCAGTAAAACATCAATATTAGCCGAGAGCTTCTGAAAAATACAAAGTTAAAAGTTAAATTTTGTAAAGCAACATTGGTCAATAAACATACTTAATATTAATGAAGCCTATTTTGCACCTTGTTGTCAATGTTCGTTAATGATGAGAGACAACTGAATGCATTGAGGCGCATAATATATACAATGTCCCAATTCGCTGACATATATCCACTGTATATGCCCCAGAATTTAGATTGGATCCACCAGACCCAACTCTAAATTGTTTTGGCTAATCCGGGCTAAAATTAACATCAAGAGGTTTAGCCAAGGATCAGCTGGTAGAAATGATCCTCATGAACTTCCTGTAACACAATGGTTGTTTTATCGTTCTTTCTCTATGAAGATGGACACGAGCACGTTGTGAGAAGTGATTAGCCCATAGAGCAGCTCCGGTTTTCTGAGGTGTGTTTGAACCGCAACCGCAATCTCAACCAAATTGCAAACTGAGAAGCAAATGGCATTAGGTAGCATCCAGTAGCATACATATCGAGGAACACAAGATCTCAAATTATCTGTCCCATCCACTAGCTACTGGTTTTCATCAGATTTGATTCACACCTGTCTTTGTGTATCAAAATATAAACAGTCTATTCATTGTTCTACAAAAGATCGATGAAACATAATTGACTATGATAGACTTTCAAAAACCAAACATCTGTCGTTCCTCGTGATTAGCTAGTTTGGTACGTTTATAAAGTTAAAAAGACTTAGTTGATTGGTTTCGTGGATTTTCGTGGGTTTGGTATCCTACGGGGGGAAACAAACTCTAAAGCATGCCCAATTCTTCCGCGAAATGCTCACAACCCTTTGGCTAACCCCCTAAGCCTGCAATGATGAACCAAAAATGTATTAAATGAAATTGAGATTGATTTGTTTTTCTGGTATCCCTGATAGGACCTCTTTGTAAGTCTATTTAATGCCTGTTAATGGAAGATTTAAAAATTTACAGTCTGTAGTTAAAGCTATTTCACTCATTTATATTGCTAGTTGCTTAGATTGATTACCGGTACATTTGTTTTCTGGGGGAAGGGGGAGTGGCGAGGGAGGGGGGGGGGGGGAGGGGGTAGTGGGCGGAGGCTCAGTAGTTTACTAACTGTATAAGTCCTTCCAAGAAATCTGTTTTGGAGAATGACTAATTGTGTTAATTCATATGATTACTTATTAAGTATACGCAAGATATCTGAAGATTTGAAAATGACCCCTTCCTTATAATTTCCTCAACAAAACACAAATAATTAGTTCATATAATATGGTGTCAACTGATGCGAATAATGTAGTCCAATACGATCACCGTCTTTCCTCGGAAACTTCTCTTTCTCGGTCATTCTTATTGTTCAAGTAACAGTCCTAGTATATCATTCTATTGTGCTCACTAAGATAGCATCAGTTTCCACTTCCGGAATAAGTGCCACATTTTTGTCAGCACCCTAATTAAATGGATGTGTCTAATATTATATATCATGTGATGTTATTGCCCAGCACGCAACTTCTAATGATGCCAGATTGGTGACAGGGGGAAAGCGTCTTGTTATGGTGCAATAAACCGAGGCCCAATTTTACAGTTTCGTTAGCCTACTTATAAACCGGATGGGATCTAGGTCTAATGTGGCGTTATAGCCCGACACGCACCTGTCACAACTGCTTATGATGCATGTTAGCTGACAGGGAAGATAGTCTATTTGTATGAAGCACGAAACCGATTTTCTCCAGTCCTGTTGACATACTTATAAACCGGATGTGATCTAGGTCATATGGTCATAGATCCCAGTAGGCACCTGTCACTACTGCTGACAAGGGAAAAGCGTCCAGATACCCGTACGGGTTTGTAGCTTCCTTCTAAGATGGATGTGATCTAGGTCTACTATCATATAAAATGTCGTGTTATTTCCTAGCTCGCACCTGCCACAACTGGTAATGACTCTGAGGTAATCTCCCATCTATTCGGACCTAGCTATATGTACCCCCCCTTCAAGAGAATATATTCAACGTTTAATAAGTCGGAGAGACTAACATGGTAATAGCATCTCTTGCTATTTGAAAATTAAACCCAGACCCCTTGTGCGTGTACATGCACGTTAGGAATCCCTTGACAGTCGACATTTGAAAAAGGAAAAAAGAGTTTAATGATGTTGTCTTGTCAAAATTTCTATATTTCAAATTGCGTGCCGTCTTCATTAGCCCAGCCAATAGCATAAATAGGATAGTGAAACGTCACTCCACTTCATTATCCCAAAAAGACCGTCATTCCGTGTATGCATCCATCTCAATGAGAACGCCATTTCGTGCATCCCAAAATAAAACGTCATTCCGTACATATCCATCCCATGACAACGTCACTCCACTTCAATTTGTTAACTTAGCCAAATCAGGAGCAGAAAAGGAAGAGGTAACACTCCCTTAGTTTATCTGATTATCAGCTACTTCATGATACCAGACACAGGTGGTTATGATCGGATTAAAGGCCGACGTCCTCCACATCTCGGTTAATCCGTCTATAATTCTACCCACCGCTTCTGGTAATCTTATCAACTACCAAACCAACCGCACAGAAACAATCAAACTACCAACTACTTCGACTACCTAGTTTGCGATATCTGCATCCACGTGAAGCGAACATCTAGCAACAAACCTTCTGGTAATATGCGTAGTATTACAGAAGTGATATTCTGTGGTTCATTAACCGTAGTGACTAAATTCATATCAATCAAAGGTACAGGTTATTAATAAACTGCAAATAATTGGAATAAAGTTTCAAGTCAAATATGGATATCCAGAGTTTATGTAAAAGCCAACAGAAGAACACAGATTGTGGGCAGAGACGTGGTACTAGTGCGAAAACGATGCGGACAAGATCTGCTTGTAGTTCTTCTGTACGGATATTCACATGCCATACATCGCTCGATAACATGCCACCTGTCGACCCAATTCTGAACATCCATGATCTAATTCTGACCATCATTCTGTCCTCAAAGAAATCAATTGTTCAAATTTCGGGGAAGGGAAGGTTTGATTCTCCCAAATGTACAGGCCTAGGGTGGAGCAGACACTTTATTTAGAAATTGGGATTAAGGGTAGGTGGTGTTTTATAGAGAAGATCGTTGTCAAAGCAATGTATTTCACGATCTAAGACGCGCGAATAACTCAACAAATCTGGAGTCGAAGCATGGTCAATTTCATGCAGTAAAGCAGAGTAAAGAGTCGTTGAACATACGTTTCACAGAATAAATCAAATCTGCTCCACATATGAACTGGTAAAGTTCTTTTTTCGAAAATAACAAAATCATCGACCTTGAATTAAACCTTTCAATCATTTTAAAAGTACAACTTCAACTTGTAATTTGAATCTGTGACAAATATGTCTAATTACTGTCTTTTATTCTGCCACTTCCGCTTATAGAATCACTGACTGACTGATTTGTCAGATCTTTTTTTAAACATGAAACGAAAGAATTCTAATGAAATCGGATGATGGACATCAGATGGTTGGATGACCTTTTATTTCACAGTGGATTAAAAAAGGACAAGTCTGGAGACACATCTAACCGATTTCACAACTCAAAAACTCCGAAAAGAAAAAAATATGACGAGATTAGAGGATCAGTATATTTTTTTAAAGAAAAATTCAGACAGTTCCTGCGGCGATTCCGACTGTTCACTCAATCATGGACCTCTTGTAGTTCTTTCAAACACTCTTAGTCTACTGTTAACTAATTCAATAGCGCGGTAATATAGAATGTCCAAATAGCAAAATAGACGGTGTATGGCTTAATTTACTGTAATGATGCTTCATTCAGATATTACATTCTTTATTCAGCCAGTGATATTCATTAAAAAAGGATTTAATCATTCAATAGCAACCTTAGTCAGACAGATTTTCATCAAACGCTACAACAAAGCCTATGGTACCCAATTTTAAAGCTTGACAACTCAAAATGACATTATTGTCAAATAACATAAAGGTACGATTATAGTAATAGAATGAGTCAACATCCCAAGAAATATGGCGTAAATCTGACGATCGTAAACTTCGTTATCCTTGTGTTGTTCAGTGACACAAAAGGCGCAAACTGATTCATGATTATTCGAGGAAAAGACTATATTATATTATGCTTCGTGTCCTTGGGAACGACAACTCTTCGCTTATTGTTACAGTTTTGCAAAATATTTTTTATAATATAAGGTATAAACAACATAAAACGGACGGGGAACTGTGTATTACAGATCATTTAATTTATATTTTGTTTCGTTTCATGTTTTTTACATATTCCACAAATTCAAACCGAAACGAAACGAAAAAAAAGGCCCGAAGAAACATTCTACAACAATTTCATGCCTATGAATCCCGCTCTGGTTAAAACACGTTCAAGAATATTCCCCCTACCCAGTACCAACCATACGACAGTCTCCACATGAAAAACATCTGAAGTACAAAATAAAGAGAAATATGCGACACTTTGTCTTGTGATAAACAAATTGCTGGTGATCTATTCATTCAACAACTTCATTACATCTCACCTCCTTTCCTAGTGTCATTATTTACGCTATGAATTAGTCCGACAGCTTCCTTATTGTTCCTATCTGCTGGAAGGTCATTAAAGGAAATAAAGAACGCGCTGGTTAGGATAATGATCCAATTATAGAAAATGAAAGTAGATGTTTTTCATAAATTATACATTATATGTGGTTGTGATATTAAAGTGATGATATGA